TGACGGTGTGTGTTATGTCCATCCACGGCAGACCTAACTGTGCAATCATCGTTTGTTACATAATGCGGCAATATATACACAATGTCGGGATCCAGAAGGCAATGGAAGCTACTACTTGCATCAGTGCACGTGCAACTAGGGTGGAAGCTTTTGTGAATGACGCACAGAAAGGGCTGAAAGACATGGGATGCAAATAATGTGACTAGCGTTGAACCGTTATGTTCTATTTTGTGTTTGAACTTTTTGTTTTGTGTGGACATGGTCATTGTCCTTCAGTTTAGTAAGACAAGTTGTGATGAAACATTTGCTTCATATTAAAATTCAACTAGTGGTTTTTTTTGGAGTTATCGGTCCGATGTGTCCGGGTTATATGATCAATTTGCTGTCGACAAAATCAATTTTTTCTGTGATAATGTTTATGGTTATTTGTATGTAACAACCCTCATGCTGTTTACTGATTAATGACTGATTGATTACCGATAATCACCGATTACTGCTAAACGGAACTGATAATGACTGATAACTGACTGATAATTGAACTGATTAAAGTACTGAACTGACTGACTGAAATTTAAACTGAATTAAATGAATACATCTGTTTGAATTGCATTCTATCTGTTTGACTGTATGATTATCTGTTCATGCTTATATGTTTAAACTGCTAATTGAAGGCCTTATCGGCGGCCGAATCCGGAATTGGTCAGTGTTTTATGATCCTCATAATTAATGTAATTTTATGGTATAATTATCTGAAAACCGATTAGGTATGATTAAATTAGATTAAAATAAGCCAATTAAAGAGTTTGACGTAATTACACTTTTGCCATCTAGTGGGGCCTTTGTTTACTCATATTTGAGCCTTGTGTATGCTTTATCAAAACATTTCTTCAGCCATATTTTGAGCACACCACCGAACTAGAGAGAGAGGAAGTGAGAGAGTGGAATTGTTCTAGAGAATTGGCTTGAAAGGCTTGAAGAGATCATAGGAGATTTGCCTAATTGGACTCCTAAACCTTGAATACAAGCTCTAGGTAAGGATTTCATCTTCTCATTCTTGTGTTTGAACTGGTTCTTGCATGGTTCATGTCTAGTTGTAGAGCTAAGTCATGAATTGGTCCATTAATGGTGAATTGCAGCTCAATCTTTGCATGCATGTTAGTATTGTTGGATTTTGAGTTGAGTTCATGGCAAAAGGTTACATACATGTTCATAATTTTGTAATGGTCCATGTTTTCACCATGTTTTGAAAAGAATTGGCTCCTTAGAGCATCACATTGGAGCTTTAAAATTGTTTGAATTCATGCATGTTTGCATGTTCTTCTTCTTCTTGAAAATTGTTTGAAATTGGGTTTGAATAAAACACCCTTGGGCTTTGATTTCTCAAATTGAGTCTTGAATCATGTTATTCTATGTGTCTATAAATGTTTTCCAGAAAATAAGCCCAAGAGGATCGGCTTTGATGCATTTAAACTTGAGTTTGAGCTTGGAGGTGCAATCTGGAATTCCCAGATTCCGCACTTCCGCTCGAGCGGGGAAATTTACGCTCGAGCGTGGAATCCGAGCATCCAGCATCTCTCTGTAATCGGTTTCAGATTCGGCCGCCGATAAGGCCTTCAATTTGACTTACGCTCGAGCGGAGAAAGTCTCGCTCGAGCGAGGCTCCTATTTTCAGCAAAGTTTGCAAACTGTTTTCTGATCACATCTTTGTATCCTCATCCCATCCTAGGCATTTTTAGGCCTAGTTTAAGACATCTTGTTGAGGATATAGATGTAGAACACACCGAGGCAAATTTAGGGATTTAATTATTACCTTTCCCAACTATGAAACTTAGAGTGTGTTCAATCTGTTAACTGTATAGGGTTGGCATTTGGGAGACACGCTCTAGCATACTGTAGCCCAGAACTCTGTGAGTAACAATTGTGTAAAGATATGTTCAACTGATTATCTTTTGAATACTGAACTGAACTGTTTACTGAACTGGATTTTACTGAATGAATGTATGTCCTTTATTTCTGAACTGTACTGTGCATCCTTAGTACCTACGGTTTACTGTATTGTTACTGTTACAGAGATCTCTGTCGGTTCCCCTGTGGAGCCACTACTGTTTACTGACTGATGGCCATCATTACTGTTCGGTCTTTTAAGACCTACTGTTACTGTTATGCTAATGGATGTACCACATATGACTGTTTACTGTACTGAACGACTGAAATACTGATTGAATTGAACTGTTTTTCATTACTGTAAGGACATTCATTCTAAACCTCTTTACGCTTTATGTTATTCACTGGGCTTTAGCTCACTGCTCATATATATATGTAGGTGTACAGGCACCAGATCGGAGCTAGGAGCGTCAGGGTAACTCCAGTTTTGTCAAGCCAGCCTTTGTGCCTCACTGCGAGGTTCCGAGTTGCCATGCTATGGCTTTGGGGTGTTTTGTTTGTTTTCCCCCGCCTGTCTTCATACTGTCTAACTGTTCTGTATGGACTGAATGTTTACCGTACTGTTATCAAGGGATTAGGTCCCTGTACTGTGTGACTGTAAATTCTGTATAAACCGTACTGTTTGTATGTATGAATGCATGAAAAATCTTTTTGGCATACAGACCGTCACAGCTCATTGGACATTGTTTAATTACTGTTTTGGCTTCCGCCAGGCCCTGTGCTCTGTTTTACTGTATTACTGTTTAGCAGGCCTTCGGTAATCTCGGATTACTGGCCGGTTACGGTGCTAAACCCATAGGGCCGGGTTTGGGTCGTGACATTGTATTTGTTTCTCTTCCAATCAGATTTGTTACTGTTTGTTTGCTTGACTGGTTGTTAATCAAACGATGTGGTTTTTGTGATGTAAAAAATGTAAACAGTACTGGTGTTTGTCCATGAACTTATCCAGATTGATGTGATGTAAAAAATGCAAACATCACTTGCCACAGTCCATGAACTTATCCAGGTTGACATCTGTAACAAAGACAGTAGTTTCGGGAGTATGTAATGTGGAATGTGTATACTTCTAGTGGAAGTCATGATTATGAACGCAGTTGTAACCTGGTTATGACTTTGTTGTGAATGAATGCGGATGGAATGTAGTTGGCGTAGGCTTGTTTGTGCAGTTTTATTGATTGTGTCTCGATTCTGGACATGAATGTGGCAAACCCACAAATGCATGTAAGTTGTTAACCATTTGTAAGGTTACATTTTTATTGAATCCCCGCAGTGGGTGTCATGCCTCCATGTTTAATGGTCCGTGTGCATTTGAATAACATTTCCTCCATGCGCAATAATGTGCCCGAACTTGTAAACGTGGTTAGTAACGAAGAAGGTAAATCATAAAAGCGAACATCGCGTTCTTGCATTGTGACACCGTACTATTTGTTTACCGGTTAGAACTGTGTGGGTGATATGATTAACGTTCAACGTATGGGATTATTCCAATTTTGGTGGTATAGCACAAGTCAAAATTTGCAATAAAACATAATGTATTACAAATTCATGAAAAATGTATTCCATCAGCAAACGTAAAACTTTTTTTCCAACGTTAATTTGAAAACGAACTAACACATGGTTGGTAACAACGGAAATTAAACGAAACCATAATAGCCTTACGGAATGGATAGAAAATCCAACATCAAAAAATAACACCAATCGTGAACCGAATTAGCCAAATTTGTGTTGCACGTAAATTGAAACAGGTCTAGCACATATGTTTTGCAATGAGGGTAGGTAATCCAACATCAAAACACCACACGTGAATGGGTAGGTAATCCAACATCAAAACACCACACGTGAATTGGCCAACCACTTTGCAATTTGCGTATCAAATTTAAAACAAACTAATACCTATGTTTGTTAAGGACAGAAAGTAAAAGAAAACGTAACGGCCTTGTGGTATGAGTAAGTATTCCAAAATTGAAACATAACACCAATCATGAATCAAAGTAAGCAAATTTATTTTGCACGCCAAATTGAAAACGAACTAACACATATTATTGGTAACGACGAAAAATTAAAAAGAAAAAATAACACCAACCATGAATCGAAGTAACCAAACTTATTTTGCATGCCAAATTGAAAATGATCTAACACATATTATTGGTAACAACAAAAATTTAAAAGAACTAATAAAAGCCTTGTGGAATGGGTTGAATTAAACATTTCAGCGCACAACTTCTGAACCGATAATGGTTCGGTACATGTTTTCCTGTTATGATTTCCTAAACGTTCGTAACGGCCACATCGGATATGTTGCACTTCTTCACCTTTCGGCGGTATCCTCTTTTTCTTTGGCCTGCCGAGTGGTCGCCGTACAGTTGGAGGTAGAATACCATAATGTCTCGGAATAACGTATGGTTTCTCAACTGTTGGTATCGGAAATATAGCTTGGGAGTATGATGATTGATAGTTGGTGACGTGGAAATAAGGGTTAATTAACGCATTCAAATCACTGCCGCTATTGCGGATAGCGACCACTGCATGTTCGCATGGAAGCCCGTTGATCTGCCATTGGAAACATGAGCATGTACGCCCACCAATGTCCACTAGAACAGATGGGTGTGAGTGGACCTCGTACACATCACTGTTGGACTGACTGATAGTCCATGATCTTCCTTTGTTGTACGCCATCTCTAGTTTGTACTCCATCTTTGGACATATTACACCAGCTTAGGAACTTGACGCTTCCCTATGGTCGGACATCTGATTCATAATTTGTGTCCTAATTGCATCAACCATTCGGGTGATTGGTAAATGGTGTGTTTCCTTTATCCAATTGTTAAATGATTCGGCAGCATTCGAACACATCTCACCATAACGGTTGCCCCTGTAAATTTGTGAGCTTGTTGTGATATGTAATGTTCGATGTAATACAAGGAATAATAAGTCATGAACATGGTGGGGGAAAAAATTAAATGAAATGTTTATGTGTTCCGTTACCTGAAGTACGCGTTGGCCCAGTGGTACGACTTTAGATCTTGTAAGAAATTGACAGCAATGTGCCTCCCGGACTATATGAACGCCTCTATTTTTTCATTAAAGTCAGCAACGGTTGGTGCGTATGCACATTCCCGCAATTTACTTACCAACCCAATACGATACAATTTGTTCACATACTTCATATTGTCCTTCAAATTCCTCTGTAAATGTTGCATACAAAAAGCGTGGTGGGCAGATTGGAAAATAGTAGGCAAAGATTCGATGATACCGACGTGCCGATCGGAAACAAATGTCAAGTTTCGATCCCTATCAACTACATTAGCTAGATTTTGTAAGAACCAAGCCCAATTTGCTGCATTTTCAGAATCAACAATTGCAAATGCCACCGGGAATAGACCTGAAAAGAAGTTTAAAAAAAAAGAAAAAGAAAAAAACGTTAATCAATCCCAGTAGCTCCACTATGTGTGTAACACTCCAATGTGTGTATAATCAAACACAGCTTTTAGGAACCCACCATAACCATTTCACGCAAAACAAGTATGTAGAACATTACCTAGGTTACCATCTTTTCCGGTAACCACAAGCAGGTTGCCTTTAAATCTACCTTTCAAAAAAGTACCATCGAGAAACAATAACGGACAACAGTGGTTAAACCCATCCATGCATGCTTTGAATGATATGAACAGCCTATTAAAAAGACGTGTGTTGTGTTCATCAAAGTCAAGATTAATATAACTTCTGGGGTTATATTCCATAACGGCATCGCTGTACCAATGCAACTGGTCAAATGACACGGAATGATCGCCATAAAGTTCTCCTCTGGCCTTTTCAACCCCCAACCAAGCTACATGGCAACTAATTTGCAACCCGTATGCTTTTTTGAAATCATATTTGACATTGGTGAGGCGAGTCAATGGTTTGTCATGCACACGTTCCACAATAACATATGCAACAAGCTCGGATCCCATCCTTGGGTTTCTGTCAGTGCGCACAGTTACCCCTCACGTGTGGTCACGACACTACTTTTTCAGATAAAAAAATCCATTCGCATTCAACACCCTCGCATGGATGGACCACAAACACCCCCTTGACTCACTAAACATGCATTCCGCCGTAATACAAACCGAGTCATTCTTTCGGAACCTAAATTGAAACCCACATTCGATGGCGTATTTGCTGAGTACCTTACGAAATTCCGCTGGCCCACCCTCGAAACATTGCCCGATATGAGTTATGCCACCCGCCCAATCCGTCAACAATAATACCTTTCCAGCGTGTTAGCAAAAATTTGGTGACAAATCAGCCTCCTCATCAATATTTGTGACCATTTCCCCGCCGTCCCCACCTGTGTCATCGTGTCCAACTACCTCCACATTTGACACCCGAGTTGCACCACAAACTATTATATCGACATCAATGTGATCTAGCCGAAATGACCTGGCAAGACATAACATGTTTTGAAACGCTCTCCATTTTGAAATTATTATAACCTGGGATCTTGAATGACAGGGAAACCAAAGTAGGCGTCAGTCCATCGAACCGTTTGCATACATGAGTGGTGAATCTGCTAAACGTTAAATCAGCACACACCACAACAACAACGTTCTTGTTATCGTACGAACACAACAACATTATACAGTCACCCATTCCTACATGGAAACAAGACAAAAAATAAATTAAACATGAGAATCAAGTTCATGAGGTGTGCATTAAACGTATACCATTACAATAGTTTCCGCCGGAGCATATCCAAGGAATCATTTTGCACCGTAATGTGGATGTCCCAACATGAAAATCACACACCCCCACACTACCATTTCAGCAACCCCTCCCCCCCACCCCCATAATAAAAAACAAAAGGAAAAAATAATAACCAACAATAAAAAGAAATTGAAACAACTAACAAAATACATTACCGTCGACGAACTCAGAAAATGCTGCACCATGGACTCCAGAACACAACCACAGCTCAATATAAAACTAAACCACCCTTAGAACAGCTTGCCTCCCCTTCAATACAAATTCTGATGAACCTTGCGGTCCCTACAAATCTGCCAATATATGCTCTTCCGTAACGTTCACACACCAACGTAATCCAAGGGATACATATCAAACCCTCCCAAAAACGTTTTCAAATACCAAACATAAAAAGGTGCAAACGTCATAACCGAATCATGCGTAACACAATTTCAAAAAAATAGAACTCCCATGTCTATTATTCTAGAAGGAGGGCTTATTGGTGTAAAACTCTCCCAGATAGGATTTTCCAATAATTTTCCCTTTATTTTAAGACTTATATCCATATTTTTTTTGTATTGCCCATGATACACTAATTATAAATAACATTATTTTTTTAATGTTTCTCGAAATCAATCGTAAAAACTTGCGTGAAATATTTTTATAAAATTTTTTGATATTGTAATTAATAAGTGCCCCCTCTAATTTAATTTTCTGACTCCGCCACTGCCCTCTATTGTTGTATCTTACCCTAGCTTTTCCCATGATTTCCATCGGTGACCACCCCTACAATTCTGTTTCTTCCCCTCAAACCACCAACCAAGGTAATGTGCAAAATGGATAATTTTCTGTTAACAAAAGGGTAAAAATGATGGCCGGGTAGAGGGTTGGAAAAATGGGTAAAAAGGAAAGAAGAAGAAGAAGAAAAAGAAGAAGAAGGTGAGCGAAGAAGGACGGCGGGGTAGAGTTTTGGACATTGGTGATGAAGATAGGGTAAAAAGGAAAGAAGAAGAAGGCGGTATAAAGGTCAATATACAAATTCTATTAACAAAAGGCAATGTGCATTTTAAACTATAAATCGCGTTAGGATTGTGTGATCATTTTCAAACGTTAATGAGCAAGGATCCTCTGTCTCCAAATAATCCTGTCCCTCTGTCCCAATTTACTCACAACCATGGAATGTGTCTTGAGATTTTCACATTTTGGAATTCTCATATGATCCAATGGCAGTGAGTGAATTAAGACAGGGGGACAAGGTTATTTGGGAACAGAGCATCCTTGCACCTAAATCACATATAACTAAAACGTAAAGTGAAGTGATTTTATTTTTTTATTTTTTTATTTTTTAATGGGCAATGTTAAGACATCTCTATTACTGAGAAAGTGCTATGAAAATAGGGTTGAGATCCTTTGTCCCAACTTTGTGTCCCAATCTTCTGTCCGATAGCCCTGATGTTGCCACCTGTAAATATATATATATATATATATTGGTATGTTATATATAATGTCAATCTCTCTCCTTTTCTTTTGAGAATCACTTGCTGCGAATATCTCCAACTCTCATCAAACACTCTTATTTCCCCTCTTTATTCTCTCTTTGTAAAAGCCATTACCGTACCAAACAATTTACCGCCATCGCATCACGGCCTTCTACACCAACAAAGGTGTTGCCGACAATAATGACTATGGAATATATAGGATTTGTACTCATTGGCCTTGTCGATGATGATTGGGTCAAAGGTCAGAGATGAGAAATTACTGGCTATCTGAATTTTGGGAGTTTCTCAAAAATTAAAATTGAAAAAAAAAAAAAACTAGAATTGTGCCTTTTAACAAATATTTTTTGGGTTTTGAGATTTTATCATGTCTGTCTGCTTTCACTTGTGACTGTATAATTTAAACGTATGTATATATGTAATTATATCCCAATATATTTCGCAGAGGCTTGATGTTTGCATCAGAGATTGGTCTTCATAGGGTTTAGGATTTTTCGGGGTTAGTCTCAGCTTTGAATAAAAAGGATGAGGATTTCTGGAAAACTTGCTAATGTACAATTTGTTTCTATTGTTGAATGAATGCTTTTGGCCTTATTTAGAAGTTGGTATTTTGGTTGGTTATTTAATTATTATTTTAATTTGATTAAAATAATAGAAAAATTGGTCTAGGATCCCTACCCAACTTTTGGTATGAGAAGAGGTCCACAATAATATTTTTTGATGCCTAAGTTCCTTCAATGTTAAAGGTTGTAAAATACCTATTTTACCTTTCTTTATAATATACGTGGTTTTGGATTTTGGTAACTGAAGATTGTATTGCTATTTTGTAGGAGATTATGTAGGGATGAACTTGATGATGGAGATCTTAGTGGAGAACTTGATGATGCAGATTTTCGTGGAGATTTTCTAGGGATTTTGTAGGTGTTGATCATGTAGGAGTTGAAGTTGTGTTGATTGTTTTTGATTTGATTTCTAGTGGAGTTGAATCAGGTAAGTTTTCAATTTTTGATTTGATTTATATGTAAGGATTTTAATTTCATATTAGTTTTTAAGTGTATTTTGAATTAGGTTTTTGTTTTTAGTTTTTATCAATGTGAAAGAGAGGCTAGCTTAATGGAGTTGATTTTGATTTTTTGAGTTGATTTTTCGTTTTCTGTTTTTCATCAACATGCTTATCAATGATGAGTTTTGTTCTTTATTTTTGGAGATCGTCTCTGTTTTTCTGCACTTTTCTAAGTTTTGTGCTCTGTTTTTTTTTTTCTTTTTCTCGCACTTTTCATTTTTCTGCACTTTTCTTTGTATTCCAGATAAAATTGTAGGTTTGTTATTATAATCCAACGAAAATCACAGAGAAAATTGTAAGCTTATATAGTCCATGAAAATCACAGAGAAAATTATAATTTCATATATACATGTTATTATAAGTTTGTTATTTTTTATTTTTAATTTTTTCAATTGAATGTTTGTGAATATAACAGATCTTCTCTGTTGTTGGTGTTTGTGTTTAATAGTTAGCATTTTTATCTTTTGATGTTAATGTGTTTTTTGTTTTTGTTATCTTGAAAATGAATATAAGTTCGTAAATTTCTCTGGACTTTTATGTTGTGCATTTTATGTGTTTTTGTTACCGAAAAGACAACCTAAGAGGGGGGTGAATTAGGTTTTTACAATTAAAATTAATAATACCCTAATAAAAATTATGACTAGCATAATAGATAAATATAATTAATGAAATAAAAATAATTAAAACAAGTGTCTTAACAACTATGCCAGTTAATGATTTTAGCACAGTAAAAATGTGAAATATAGCTATGATAATTTAAAATAAAATAAAGAGATAAGGGAGAAAGAAGCAAACAAAATTATAGTGGTTCGGCTTCAACTCGGCCTATGTCCACTCCTCAAGCTTCACTTGAGATTTTCCACTATACTCTAGCTTCACAGGGTGCTAGCAACCTTTTCACAGATAGAGCAATCCTCCACAGATTTTACACAGACTTTCTAAGTCAAGAGCACTGAGTGTACTGCACTCTTACAAAGTTGAAAAGAATGTGTTTTTGCTTTCAAAGAAAGCTATAAGATTTATCTCTCAAAGATAGATATAAAAATGAGACTCTGATTTTTCTGTAATCCTCACACAGGAAAGATGGGCTTAAAGCTATACGACTTAATGTATAATTTCTGAGAGAGGACGTAAACAAAAATTGAAGAACACTTCTTAGAGAAATTTTTGGAGAATAGATGTGAGTGATTATAGATCAAAGAATATTTTTTGATTTTTTTTTGTAACTTGTTTACATTAAAGGTTTTGGAATATATAATGAAACTTATAGCCGTTTATAGCCGTTTTATTGATTTGAATTTATAGCTGTTAATAGCCGTTGTATTCATTATAATAGCTTCTACTCCATCATTACTAATTTGAATATCTTCCACTTGAACTTTTTGGCCTGCTGCTGTGTTGGGCTGTTTGAACCTTTTGGTTTGCTGCTGTGCTGGGCTGTTTGAACCTTTTGGCCTGCTGTTGTGCTGGGCTGTTTGAACCTTTGTTTTGAGCTGTTTGAACCTCTTGTTTGGGCATTATTTTTGGGTTAAAATGAATTCCTGATTTAAGCAAATATTAAATACATTCAAACAATATTTAGGATAAAAGTTTAGGTGAGAAATAACGGGACAAAATAAATTTTGGATTCTATTTTTCTTTTTCAAATAAATTAAAATATAATTAAATAAAT